AGGAGATTATTACATTGCCCTTGCCCTACACGTAGCATGGAAGTTGCTTAGCTATCATTCTCAGGCTTTGAAGAGAACTTTCCACAGGAAGTTGTAGGGGAGGAATTTGAGCTACAACTGGAACCCCACAGTGGGTGAGTCTTTTACAGATTCATGGCCTGTAACAGAAGAGGCTCAGAGCATTTGCGAGAGAGGGCCCAGGTGGCTGGGAAGCCATAAGTAGCTTGGGAAAAAGAGCCCTTGAATAAAATAATTTTCTTTTGAGAATTTGCAGATAATCTAAAACTTCTCTGAGGATATTTCTAGGGATGGACATCTAAATATATTCATGTCTGGCTCTATCCAGACCTATTATTCCCAATAAATGGCCTCCAGTACCCTAAGTCAAATGTCCAACTGAATTCACTTTGGCTCTAAAGGTTAAGAACTAGGCTCTGGCATCAGGTCAACTTGAGCTGAAATCCTGGCTTTGCCACTTGGATAGATTACTGGATTTCTCCAAGTCTCCACGATATTGCCACAAAGGGGGAGAGTATGTGATTATCTCATGAGTATTCTTTGGAAGTTCAATTGAGAGAGTGTTTTCAAAGGCCTTAAGCATAATGCCATGCAGAAAAGATGTACCTAAAGGGGTAAAAAGGATAGATTCTATTTTTATTAAGTATTTTATCACTTCCTAGTTTTATTGGAAAAGTTTTGCTCTCAGATGAACTCAATATAATTTTTTTCAGGTGGCCAGTTAAAGATAATCTCAGGTTTTAATAAATATTACTAACGGTAAACCATTAGACATTTTTTGACTATAGACATTATTATTTTAAAAAATCAAATAACAAAACTAACTGGATATTAAAAAATCTTCTCTTTTATGTGATTTTATATTCAAACTGTAGTGAATTGATATATGATATTGCACCTGTTAAATGTATTTGAAATACCCCTGTATGATGATTTGTGTCAGTATAGTAGAAAATGTGACTTTCATTTTGTAGTTAGGGTCTCAGTCTGATTCCTAGAACTGCTACTTACTAATTACCACTTGCTACCTACTAAATATTACTTACAATCTATTAATTCTATGGCCTTATGCAAAAGATACTTTAAACTCATAGAAGCTAAGATGTATTTAGCACTTATTATATGCCAGTACATTTCTAACTTGGTTCTTACAATATATCTCTGAAATAGGTGCTAATAATTCCATTTTATGAGAATTAAATGAGTAAAGGGAGAAAGACAAATATCATTTGCCCAACATTGCCAGTAGGGAATAGATTTGAACCAAGGGTCTATGAGACTACAAAACCCCCAGCTACATACTGTGGTGGTTCTGTCAGTAAAAATGAAGCTAAAGAAACTTACCTTGCAGAGTTATTATGAAAACTGGTGATAATGTATGTCATTTTCACATACTGAACACTCCATAAATTTTAGTGATTTTTAAATTCTCATTTCTGTGAACCATAATAATTTAAAATGGGGAAAAAAACCTGATATTTTGGAATTTATAATATAGATTTTTCAAATTTACCTGGCAATAAAATGCATAATGTGGACAGAATCAGTGCTAAGAAATAACGAGAATGTCATATGCAATGAAGCATAAGGTTTTTAATATGGAAAAAGCAGTAGAGTACCCATTCAGGTATTTGCAAATAATGGGCAGTGTCTAATGATTAGATTTCTACTTAATGGCAAATTTTACCCAATGCTTTGTTTGTGTGAAATACAGAAGACTTGACAGTTCCATTGGAAGTTTTAATCAACTTAACAAGAAATTTGTGTCCTTTTAAAAACACATTCTTACTCAACAAAAATTCAAAATATGTTCACAATAGTTTGTTAAACTCAGTATTTCCTACATGACCTCCACTATAACTATTTTATTCTTCTTGTTTTCCTCTTTGTCTTTACCAGTCTATTTTGGGTGAACTCAGTGAGCACTTTACGTGAAAGCAAAAAACTGGTATCATTTTTAAACACATCAAATTATGCCAAATGAGATGCAATCTGCCATATATATTTTCAATGATGAGTAACTATTAGCATTGCTGCATTTGTTGGACTTCAGAAATGGAAAAGAAATAACTAAATGGATGTATTTTACTTTACATCAAAAGAGTTCAAAGAACTGTGATGATTAATGAACCATCCCCAAAACTCTATTAAGTCCTCAAGTTCAATCAATGCTAAATTATCCAAACTAATAGACAGGAGCAGAGGTGCAGGACATTGGATTGGTCCTGTCTACTTCAGGGCTGCTGTTCCCTGTCCCTTGGGGATCTGGCTTCTCATGCCCAATACCAAACTGTCCCATTTATAGTAGAATTCCATCCCTCCAGTCCAACCACTACTGCCCTCTCACAGAGCTCCCCACGAGCCAATAAAGAATTAAACATATCTTACTCAAGTTTACATCTTGCTCAAGGACTGAAATAAGCCAAGTCTCAACTCCTGTATAATTTTGGAATGCATGTACACCCAATCAATCAAAAATGCATGTTCTCCTTGTTGGCCACTTAGCATACTAATACTAGAGAACTTAGTATTTCAGTACAAAGTTAGAATTTCCATTTAAAATTATACTGAAGGACTCTTTCACCCTCCAAAAGTTCCTTCCTTCCTTTCTTTTTTCCCTTTCTTCTCTTTTTTCCCTCTTTCTTTCTTCCCATTTCTTTTTTCTTTTTTTTAACCCTTTCTGCCTTCCTAGTTTCCTATTAGCACTATATTACGTGTGTTGTCATACAGACATAAATAAATGATACACAGGCATTATACAGACATAAATAAATGATAAAGCAAAAGCTTATCATCAAGAAACCCTTAATCCAACTGACCAACTGACCATTTAGCTTACTCAGGGAAAAAAAATGATGAAGAAAACCTTAAGATGATATTTTTAAAGTACTGGAGAAATCTTTGGTTTATTGCTTTCATACAAGAAAAAGAAAAAAGAATATTTTAAGACTTTCACTGTAAAGTAGATCTGTGCCTATATTTCAGAAAGTGACACATCCTCAAAGAGTCACAATTTTCTTCAAATTATAGGGCTGTTCTTAAGGAAACAAGGAAGATGACAGAGAAAATGACTTGCCTGACACGGCTTTTGTTAGGCAGTAAAGAGGTGCCTGGATCAGGGAGAAACTGTTATTTTTCTATTACTTTCATAGTGGAGACGCCAACATTGAAATGCTACATATTTCTCCACCGAAGCTCTGCTTCAAGCAGTGTTCAGCTCCTGCTTTTTGCATCATTAGTACTGTGGGTTATGATTTCATCAGGACAACTTTTATTGCAAAGCACTCTCCTAAATGAAATGCAGGGGAAATGAGCTAAACCTAAGACGCTGTTGGTTTGCTAATGCCAATCTTCTTCTCACAAAATTCAAGTGCTACTTGTCTTTGTAATTGCAAGCATAGGGACACATCTTTCCTCACTTAGAAGCACTCATATAGTACTAGATCATTATCAGACAGGAGAGCATTTGAATCTTAAATTGCCATTGATCCATGTTCACCGCACAATTTCCTCTATAGTAATTTGACAGGGTCAAGTAGGAAATAAATTTTGGGTTTCTCTTGATTCAGTTTGAGAGAGTTCAAATCTTCCTGTTCTTTCTACAAAGGATGCTAAGGGACTGCTAGGATGTTAAAAGGCATATTCCATTTAGACAGAAAGAAATTACCTGATTTTGGCAATCAATATTTTTGGTTTTTATTTTTTAGGAAATGCTAAGCAGTTTTTAGAGTTATGATTATGCTATGTTATGTTTTGATTGGCAAGAGGACATACATCAAATGGAAGGATGAAGCCATGAAGTCTTCTCAGTAAAGAAGATTGAAGCAAGGGTATTCCATATTTAACTTGACATAAATAATCATGGGCATTTATGAAAGCCGGTGCCTTCATGATGGTAAATTATCTTTCTTGTTCTTTGTTTTTGCTTCCCTTGATGAAGCTGGGGTTGAAAATGGTTACTCTGGAAAAGTAATCTAAGCCTTTCTTCTGGTGAATTGCAGGCAGGTCATAAGAAGTCTTCCTTGAAAAATGATGTAAAACAAAACAAAAACAAGAAACAATCTACAGAAGTTTGACACTAGTGTAGGTGAGAGTATTCTGGCTTTTTTTTAACCTCAGGAAAAAATTGAGTTTAGTTTAATAGATTAAGGATGAGTTAGAAAACATTTCTAATTAAGCTAGGATAAGACCTGTTAATTGAGCAACCTTTGATATATCTGTATTTGTGAGCAACCTTGATGATATCTGTATGCATGCTAAATAGCCTCCAAACATTAGCATCTTAAAAATGGAAATTATTAAATTCATGCTACTCTAATTAGCATATAATTACATAATATTTAGCAACATGCATTTATACCGTTAGCTTTTATTCTCATACAATTTAATACAACATTGTTTGCTAGACCCACTATTATTTTATGAACCATTAAGTAAGACAAAAACTCTACCAAATAAAATATGACAGAGGCATGAAAGAAAATTTTGTGTGATATATGAATTGTTCACACAAACCTCTTATTGCTTGGATATTATTTTCATCTATCGTGAGGATTGTGGTAGTTTCTCCTGACTTTCACTGAGTCGCCTAGCATGTGGCAGGCAATTCTTTTGCTCATTTCCCACAAACAGAATGTAAGGTAGCTGGCCAGGTGTGGTGGCTCACGCCTGTAATCCTATAATCCTAGCATTCTGGGAGGCCAAGGCAGGAGGATTGCTTGAGGTCAGGAGTTCGAGACCATCCTGAACAAGAGCAAGATCCTTGTCTCTACTAAAAATAGAAAAACATAATTGGATGTGGTAGTGTGCGCCTGTTTTCCCAGCTACTTGGGAGGCTGAGGCAGAAGGATTGCTTGAGGCCAGGAGTCTGAGGTTGCTGTGAGCTAGTCTGATGCCACAGCACTCTAGCCCTGACAACAGAGTAAGACTCTGTCTCAAAATAAATAAATAAATAAAAATGTAACATATCTTTAAATACTCACAAGCATCTTCCTTCCTTTGATCCCACAAAGCACTTGATTGCTGTTAGCAAGAAAATATAGAATTTTAATTATTCTCCCAACAATGAATATTTGCTTCACTGTATTCTTTCCCCATGTTTTTGCACATAAAGAGAAAGTTTTTGTTTCTGTACTGAAAAACCATGTGATCTTTTCACACATTTTACATTTTAAATAGCTCAATACTGCTCAATAAGGGTATACACTGGGCTCATAACTCTAGAAACATGAATAGATATGACCCAGTTCATGCACATAGGAAATGAAAAATCTGACATGACTGCTTTCTGGTAGAAAGCACCTGTAAGCACTATCGATTTTAACATGCATTCTTATTTCAGAGATTTATAAATGTATCCAAAAGAAATGTGTCTCAGAATCAATGAAATGAGAACCTATTTATTTTTATGAAAGTATATATTCACATAAGGAAAAATGCATATTCTATAAGCATACTAATAAGTACTCTAGGAATTTGGATGTACAAAGGAGAGGGTCATAAAAATGCACTCTGAGCCAGCGTCTGAAGGCAAAGTGCCCCAGAGCGTTTTTTTGCAACCCCAGATCTGTAAAGATATGCCCATAGTAATATATAAAACTGAGTACCTATACTTTGCTAAAAATATTGGGGTGAAAAAATATTGGGATGGAGAGAAAGAAACTGAGCAAGGCAGCATATGGAGGTAATAATGACTTGTTATCGATCAGTAGACAATAGACTTGTTCAAGTTTATTGACTAGACAAGTTTATTGTCCCAAACAACAGGAACAGGTTCAGTCATCACAGCTCCCCTGAGAAGCATAGTCTCAAGCAAGGGTCAGCAAACTATTTTTGTGAAAGTCCAGATGATAAAAAATTTAAGCTTTGCTGGTCACATACATTCTCTGTCACATATTCTTCTTTGTTTTATTTTTGACCACTTTTTACAGTTGTAAAGATCATCCTAAGCTTGGGGGCCTCCAATAAGAGGCTGTGGTCTGGATGTGGCCCTCAGGCCACAGTTTGTAGACTTCTGGTTGAGAACAGCGATTGCCAAATTTTAGCACACATCTGGACTCCCTGGATGGCTTTCTAAAACAGATTGCCACCCACCGCATTTCTGATTCAGAAGGTCTGGGATGGGGCTGGAGAAGTTGCATTTCTGTTCCTACTTGATGCTGATGATTCAGATCCAGAAACCATGCTTGGAGAATCAATGGTCTCATAGTAAAAAGTAGCTTTGGAGTAAAACAAATTTGGGTTAAAATCCTCACCTTTTCACTCACCATCTGCGAGAACTTGGGTAGTTTACTGAACTGCAACTGGATCTCAGCTTCCACAGCTGCAGAATGGACAGAGATAGAATCTATTTTTCTGGGCTCCTATGAAGTTAGACTTCATAAACTCAACTTCACAATGAAGTTAACCTTCACCAGTAAGGTTCGTGGGGCATGTAGCACAGTGCTCGGCACGCAGTCATTGCTACATATGTGTTAACTATTGTTAATCATAGCAGGTGGAAAAAACCATTTTGAGAAATCCAAAATGGGTTTTAAAAAAGTTATATTTTCACCCTACATCAATTTATTTGGGATGTTGATGGAGAAAACAAAACAAAACCCCAAACATTGTAAAATAATTTAAAGAGGTTTATTCTGATCTGATTATGTGCAACTGTGGCTGGGGGAACATGATCTCAAGAGGTCTTGAAAAAATGCACCCAAGGTAGCTGGGTTAGGGTTTGGTTTTATAATTCATGGAGACAGGAATTATAGGCAAAACCGTAAATCAAAACATGTAAGGTATACATTGGTTCGGTCAAAAAGGTGGGACATCTCAAAGCAAGGGCTTAGAAGTCATAGATGGATTTTGGGAATTCTTTAGTTGGGAATTGGTTGAAAGAGTGAAACTTTGTCTTAGGACCAGGAGACAGTAGAAAGGAATGCAGGAGTTAAGTTAGGGAGTCTGTAAGGATGCTTGAGTTAAAATAAGGGGGTCTTCCATCTGTCATGCAAAGCTATACTGGAATCAGATTGGAAAGTAAGCCACATTATACCAGCTCTATAAAAACCTGTGTAATGAGATTTATTTGTAGGCACAAATCACCAAGCCTCTCAGAAAGGAATTTGGGCAATAGAAAAAAAAGTTCAGAGTTCAGTCTTCAGGGCTGATGGAAAATATCAATGAGAAAGTTAAAAGTGGGGGAAAATAGTAAGTGGCAATGTAGGAATTACTGGAAAAGATATCAGGTTCTTTTCCATGTGAAAAGGCATGGCATTTTCTTGAAGACGGATCCATGGACTAAATGGCCAGATTAGTAGTCCATGAGTGAGCCGTGTGATGAGACACATGCTGTTTAAGAAGAGAAACATCTGGGAGGCTTCTCTGCACTAGAAACATGGGACTCATTCCTAGTGACAGCACATGCAATCAAGCAGCTGCTGCTGTTTCCTTGCCCTAATGTTCCAGCCGCTCGGAGGGTGCTTGAGCAATGTCTCTTCCTACCTGGTGCAGCTGTTAGATAGTTACAGATATACCCTCTGATTCTGTTTGGGGTTCATTCCTGCTGTTTGGTAATGCAATAAAACTGATCTCCCCTTGGAAGTAAACAGCTCAGCTATCAAAGGAACATTAGGGAGTTGTTGGAGTGTGATTCACCTCCACTAAGACACAAATAAAGAGTGGGTCCCCAGGTTAAGAAGCTGTCCTCTCTTCTAATGTGCCTGGTACAGAAGATGTACTTATCACGAACAACCGTAGAATGAACACAGTGTTCCCAGCGTCCAATAAATTGTGTCTATTTGGCAGATTACCTTTAAAAGATTCATGGTGAAGCCAATAGATCCATTTATCTTCCCTTAGGCTATTTCTATCTTACAAATGTGCATCTTCTAAGGCAAGATTTCTCTTATCTAGGCAATGACCTAGGATAAAGGAACACAGGTTTTGGGTTGCTTACTTGTTGTTAGTTTCTGCCTCTTCTCTATTTCCTCCCTCTTTTGTGTATATAGCAGTGGTGCCTAGATTTTATAGGTCATCTCTGTGATAATCTGAAACACTCTATTCCACCACCTTAAGAGAGGGTCTCACAGTTGCATCACTTATTGACTTCTCTGAGAATCAATTTCACCTGCAATAAATCCCTAACAATTTCTCCTGCAGATGGGTCAGAGGCACAGTTAGGAAAGGATACAGTGAGAGAGAAAACAAAGTACTTAGTCTGCCAGGTGAAAAGGTGGCTGCATCCTTTATCTGCATCAGAATGGCCCTGGTTTTGGGAAGGATCATCCTAACAGGGATATGCAGTGTGAGTGATAATTTAAATATAGGAAATTTTGAGTGCTGAGAGTTGGAACATCTTTAGTTCATTCATTTAATTTTCTGAAGTGGTGAGAATATGGAACACAATGTTGAATAAATATAAGCAATTATCTAGCCATGATAGATATTTGAAATACTTTACTTTCAGTACAAGAGAAATATGGGGAAAATGCTAGAGGTTTAGAATTGAGATAATTAGAAAAGCTAGAGGATCTATGAAGCTTTTGGAAATGAGTGAAATGGTATGTTTCTGAGAAGCAGAGGGTGGCAAGATCACAGGCTTTGGAGACAGATGGATAAAACCTGGAATTATTTAGTAATAGTAACTGTGGAATAGTATTTAATTTCTCTAGCTCTGAGTATGCTATTCTGTAAAAGGTAGAAAATATTAGTACCCAGCCCACAGAGCTGGAATAGATGAGCTCTGAGGGTGAGTTCTTTGCAGTTCAAAGCACCTGACACATAGTGACTAACCTATACACTTTAGCAATTATTATAATTTTTGAGAGTCAGGAGGCAGACTAACACAGAACTGCCATATTAACTCTGCTTCCCCATAACAAATATGTATAAACAGCGTTTAAATGCCTCTATCTTTCCTTTCCTATGCCCTCACCTATTCCTCTGTCCTTCTACACAAATCTCCTCTGGACAAATTTCTCCAATGACTAGATCAGAAACACAGTTAGAAATGGGAATAGTAAAAGAGGGAAGGGGCCAGGCTCACAAAAAATCATACAAGTTCCCTTTTGTGCCTTGTCCAGACGAAAAAAATCTAAGATTTCATTTCTGTAACTAGATGCAAAAAATTGGCTTCCTATAAAAGCGGACCACACTTGAAACCACTAGAGAGCATCTATGAAGGCAATGAAGGAGAAGCATGATACTAAATAGAGAAAGAATTTTATCTACACTGGAATCAGATTTCTATGCTTGCTATATGAATGACAAGAGCAATTCTTCCCTTATCTGGCAAACTAAAATGAAATTAATGAATATTAATTCACTTCATCTTACTTGAAAAATTAAGCTAATGTGTAGCACATATGAAATATTATTTGAACAGCATCAGAATACGTATATAATCTAGGACAACAGGCACTGATACTTCATTGTGATAAAATATCTGATTTTGTTTTTTCTTTCTTCTTTTCTCATCTAAGATAATTTTATGTTGGTGGTAATGTTGAAATAAATTTAACTTTTTTCTGTGAGATTCTATAACCCTATTTTTGTTTATTTCCCCTTGAACGGTAAAGCTATGAGCTATTTAGAGCACTTTATTTATTATTCTTCCAATCAACTGACATAAATGTGAATAATATTTATTTCCTATTTTATAAAGAAATAAATGTACTGAAAAATAATTTACTTCTAATCTAAGCCCCCATATTTTCCAATGAAGTCTAGAAACATGAATGACTTTTCCAAAAACACAAGCGATATAGTCAGAAGAATAGCAGAGACCTCTCTCACCTGAATTTCATTCCCAGCTCTTATGATGAGACCCTATCGATTCTTTTTACATGGATATGTACTATAGTTTACATGACAAATACTGAAGACTCCAAGATTTTAAGCTTGAATTCCTAGTAGTTTTCCCCAGGCCTGGAGTTGATCCTAAAACCTGCTAAAATATAAACAAGTGAAGGTCACTAAATCTCTTAATGAGAAGACAACTGTGCTGCAAATAGCTTTATCAGACAAGGTGTGTTAGTTCCCCATGGCTGCTGACAAATTACCACAAATTTAGTGGCTTTAAAGCAAAACAAATTTATTACCTTGACGTTCTTGAGGTCAGGATTCTACAATCAGTCCCAGTGGGCTAAAATCAGCACAACCACATTGTTTCTTGAAGGTCTGTGAGAGAAACCATTCCACTGCTTTTACAGAGGCTGCCCTCACTCCCTAGTTCATGGCCCCACATTACTCTGATCTCTCTCCTGTTGTCACATTTCCTTTTGACTCTGATGCCCCTGCCCTTCCTCTTTTAAGGACCCTCGTGATTACACTGGGCCTATTCCTATAATCCAAGATCATCTTCCCATATCAAGACCCCTAATCACAAAAGTCCCTTTTGTGTTGCTTGTACGGTAGCCTATTTACAAATTTTAGGGATTAGAATGTGGACTTCTTTGGGGAGCCATTGTATCTATCATACAAGAATACTATAAATCTGTCGAATTTTTGCCTTGACCTAATTGGCTCAGCCCCTAACCAATCTGTTCTGTAATTACTGATGCAGGGTAGAACAGGAGAAGATCACATGTGTTTCTCTAACTCTATTCTTCTGACAGGCTGCCTAGATTGTTGCTATCTCACAACAAAAGAGTTATCTTTGAGACCTATCACCTAGCAGTTTAACCTGGAAAGCTGAACCAGAAATTCTTTCCCATATGTGAGTTTTATTCATCTTTGCCACATTTTCTAGGGGGTTTGAGATTGCTTCCATTCTAGTCTGCAAAACCTGGAAAGGGTTGGATCTGACTATTCAAAAAATGAATGTCTTCTGTAGACAACTGAAGTGATAGCAAAAAAAAATTGTCAAAAGGGATTGTAGACTTTCTTAACTAGGCACAGCCTGAGTGCCTATATTACATGCTCAACACTCACAGCTGTCAGAAAAGAATACATGTATCCCAAAGGCTTACCCCACATTCTATATGCAGTATTATTCTTTTAAAAAAAAATTCTTTATAACATGAATTGCTACCTAGAAACTCTACATGAATTTATTAAATGTTGGCTCTCTTCCAGACATTGTCCTGTATTCTAAGAACACAAAAATGAATCAGGCATGGTACCTATCTTCAAGGAAGGCATTGTTTAGTACAGTGGTTTTAAAAGTGGGCCATGGGCTAATCAGCATCATCTGAGAGCTTAATAGAAATGCACATTCTTAGGCCTCATCCAAAACCTACTTGAGGGATGAAGCTCAGCAATTTTTGTCTTAATAAGTCCTTCAGGTGATAGTCTGAAGACTGGAACCAATATGAATATGGTGCAGGGAAGGTAGATAGA